ACGACTCATGCTTATTTTGATTCTCTACAATTTCCTTATTTTCAAATACATTCATATATACATGTGGGGATATATTTTCTGTATACCAACACGTGGCATGGTGACGCCGACGTGTCAGCCGAGGTGCCACGTGCCCTGGTAGTTAAGCCGAGGTAATCTCGGAGAAGCCGAGGTCATCTCCGAAGATATCGGAATCCGAGATATGGGGCAAGAGTCCTAAGGCACAAAGGGGATTGAACCAAGATAAGGATAAAACTCTCAAGGAGTTTATCTATATCACTTAAAAGAGTCCAGAGTAAACAATGAACTAGAATCCATAGAAGTCATACTTCTAGTAGGACTTGGATTGAGTATATTATAAAAGAGAGGCACCCCCATGGGTCTAAGGTATGTAACTTATACTTTGAGTATTCAATTTAGTACTTGATTATCTTTGAGAGATATACTGACTTGATCGTCGGAGTGCCCCCGGGTGGAAGAACCACCGCCGGAGCTTTTTCTTTCTGTTTCAGGTTACTTTAGCCATCTATTCTGTTTGTGCTCTCCAGCTGATCACTAAACGGGCAGTGTGGTCAGATTTTCACCCACACAATTTGGCGCCGTCTGTGGGAATCGAAGGAAGAATAGATGGCCAGTAACGGACAGCAGGAAAATATTGGGGATGACGCTCCCACTGGGATTGGCAGACCAATTGACCTTGACATCGAAGGAGATAACCACAATACAGAAGCCCGTGACCAGGGTCACAGAGAGAACGACGTCATCCCAGAAGGCGACACGTCAAAAAGAGCAAACCAAGGAAAATACTACAATGAAGATAACCTCCAGGTATGGAGGGACAGGTGCCTACGGAGGGATGAGGAAGTAAAAGAACTAGCAAACAAGTTGGCGGACCTCCAGTCAGTCGTCAACTTCATGATGCAAAACAATGTAATGCAGCCAAAAAGGTTAAGGTAACCATTGACTAAATATGTTAACATGCAACCTAGAAGAGAAAAAATGAAAATTTCAACCTAAATCCATATCATTCTATCACCAACAATGCAACTCTCTACCGGTTACCAAGGACAAAACCTCTAAGCAATAGGTTCATCAATATCAATAGCATACAACACAAAAACGGATTCATGATTTCATCAATTTAATCATTTCTAACTCACATACTATATCAATGTAATGTAATTACATTCTTTGCAAAACTCATCACCATCCCAAACATTCAATAGAATTAAATGTCCATTTTTCTCATGTAAGTAAAACCTCGGGATCTTCATGTTAAATTTAAAGCCATGGTTGTATAATTGAGAGGCACCCCCGTGGGTCTAAGGTATGTAATTTATACTTTGAGTATTCAATTTAGTACTTGATTATCTTTGAGAGATATACTGACTTGATCGTCGGAGTGCCCCCGGGTGGAAGAACCACCGCCGGAGCTTTTTCTTTCTGTTTCAGGTTACTTTAGCCATCTATTCTGTTTGTGCTCTCCAACTGATCACTAAACGGGCAGTGTGGTTAGATTTTCACCCACACAATACATATATATATATATATATATATATGTATGTTGTATAAATTGTGTGATAACATAAAACAAATAGATTCATACTCGTTAATTGAAATTTCAGAACAAGCAAACCATTCTGAAGATTACAATACATAACAAAATAAAATAACATAGAAAAGCAAATCGAAACCTGCACTAGACAATGTCCTTAATTTTTTTTAAATAAATTTAAAAAATTCTAGATATGCATAAAATTTGACAAGAATAATGTGACAATGTTAATTAATGTGTATTTGATTTTATTGTTGAGCCAAATAAAATAAAATAAGATTGAATGTATATTTGGCTTTGGTTGTGAATCCTTAAAAAAAATTAAAAAAAAAAACTAAAAGAAAAAAGATTGAATGTATATTTAGCTTTGGTTGTGAATCTTAAAAATTAAAAAAAAAAACGGTTGTGAACCTTAAAAATTAAAAAAAATAATAATAAAAAAAAAGATTGGATGTATATTTAGCTTTGGTTGTGAATAAAAAAAAAATGTTGGTTGTGAACCTGAATAAATAAATAAATAAATAAAAGAAAAAAGATTGAATGTATATTTAGGTCTCGTTTGGGAAGCGACCGGTTTAATCAAAAAGTCAAAAAGTTACTAAAAAAGCCAAAAAGCCAACAACCCATACCAAAAAGTTAAAGATTCTCTATTTTCTCTACTTTTTGCACATCTTTTCGTAAAAAGCCAAAAAATCATCACAAACATACTAGTTTTTTTTAGCTCATATTTTAGTCAAATAGTCAAAAAGTTACTAAATTGGCCTATTCCCAAACGAGGCCTTAGTTTTGGTTGTAAATCCTTAAAATAAAATAAAAAAACATATGGGGAAATTAGTGCGTACCCATCCCCAACCCATCCCCTGTGGATATTTAAAGAATATCACTTACCCTACCAAATGGATAAGAAAAAAAAAGAAAAAACCCATGTATTTGGGTTGGGTCTCCATGGATACCCACAGGGTAGGTTATCCATTGCCATCCCTACAACGGAGGACAAGGAATATGGCAGATCTGGCACCGTAGAGATGGAAGAGGAGAAACCGAGCAAACTTCCACCAAGGAAGAAAAGATTCCTCACTAAGAGAGAGAGTGGTTGGGAAGAAATATCTCCCACGGCTTATTGAGCATAAAAATAAGAGGAAAAAAAGGGAGGGAGAAGGAGAGAGGAGAGGGGTGGCTGGAGGCCAAAGCCCCCTCCCCCTCCCAAAACGATGCCGCTCACAAAAACCCTAAGTAAAGGGGTAGAGAGAGAAGCTCCCGATCTAAGAGGATCTCCAACCACATCATCTTCTCAAGAGGATGGAAATAATATTTTTATTCAAAAAGTAAATATAGAGGAGGTCACTATTCATTCAAACTCCAACCACAAACCTTCATTTTCTTCATTCAAACTCCAATCAAAAAGTAATTTTTGTTCATTAATAAATATTTAATTTTAAAATTTTTGTAAAACATATTTAATATTATACTCATTTTAAATGTATGATTTTATACTTTTTATTGATGTCATTTTTATAAAAATTAAATTTACACATTAAAATTTATTTCGAATATAATTAAGAAATATAGAGTGAATAGTGTTTTAGAGTCTTCTCCATTTTTTCATCCCCCTCTATATTTGGAGGATCAATTCATGAGGATGGGTTGGAGTTTTTTTTGGGAGAGGATCCTCCATATCCTCCTCCCAAATGGAGAAGGATGAATTGATCCTCCAAATATAGAGGGAGGATGAAAAAATGGAGGAGACTCTAAAACAGTATTCACTCTATATTTCTTAATTATATTCAAAATAACTTTTAATGTGTAAATTTAATTTTTATAAAAATGACATCAATAAAAAGTATAAAATCATACCTTTAAAATGAGTATAATATTAAATATGTTTTACAAAAATTTTAAAATTAAATATTTATTAATGAACAAAAATTACTTTTTAATTGGAGTTTGAATGAAGGAAATGAAGGTTTGTGGTTGGAGTTCGAATGAATAGTGACCTCCTCTATATTTACTTTTTGAATAAAAAATATTATTTCCATCCTCTTGAGAAGAGGATGTGGTTGGAGATGCTCTTAGAGAAAGAGCCTTTTTGCACTGTATATCTTGGTATACTATCTGATCATCAAATTATACAATCAAATGTATGATAAATGAGTTTTATAAATGATTATACAAACTGAATTGAATTTGTATATAAAAAATTAATAGAAAAATATCTTAAATTATTCATGAAAATTATGTATAAATGTAATTTTTCATGATGAATTCAATCACTATTTTAGTCAACTACCAAATATGCCCTAAAGGGTCACTTTTGTCATTCGAGTATAGCCCAATGTTGAAAAAAGATATAAATATATACATATATGGGGATGGAGACATGTTGAAATCAAATTATGATTATAGTTGTAGTAGATATATATCAAATTTAAATTTCAAAAATAAAATTATCCATAAAAAAAGGGTTTTTTTTTTTTAAGGTCCTTGATATTAAGGTTGTATAGCATAAAGGACATTCAATATTTTCATAATGTCTAAGGTCCCTCAACCTTGATCTAGAGAAATTTCAGTCCAGAAAAAATTGGTCCAGAGAAATTTCAGTCCAGAGAAATTTCAGACCAAATTTCTCTGGAAAGTCTAATTATTCTCAGAATTTTTCTGGATTGAAACTAGAGAAATTCTCTGGATTGAATCCAGGTGTTGAGGATTGATCTCAAATACCCTTCTTCCTCTTATGACTAACAAATTTATTGAGAACTACAGATGCACAAGGCTAGTGGTTGAGACAATGCTTTATATTTTTTTATTGAAAGTTGTGAATGTTTTTATGAATCTGTTCTTCGCTTCTTGAATAAAATTCCATTCTTACATTTTGTCATGATTTCATTTACACTTTCATTTATACTTCCAGTTATACATTTGTTGAAATAAACTGATCATAGGGATACATGTAAGTAACTAAGCATAATTAACAAAAATTTCAGCAACTTACCCAAATCATTGTGATTCATTAGGTAAGCAACATTGTTCAACTAAATTCAACTGGAAAAATTCAACATTGTAATATGTAAGCAACATTAGAAGGGATAACAATGGCAACTTACCAGAACCAGAGAAATTCTGGAAAAATCTGAGAATTTCTCTGGTTTGTTATTGAAATATCAATTGAGAATTTCTCTGGTTTATTAAAAATAACATTTCTCTGGTTTATTAAAAATAACAATTGAGAATTTCTCTGGTTTGTAATATCTGGAAAAAATTCTGCAACTTACCCAAATCTGTTCTTCCCTTTTTTCCAGTTGAATTTTTCAATCGAAAGTGTTTCTTGTTCTTCGCTTTTTTCCAGTTGAATTTTTCAATCGAAAGTGTTTCTCTATTGAACAATGTTCCCATTAGGTCCCTTCAAGCACAGACGGAAGCATGTGAAGCCAAGACTAAAGCAGATTTGTCAAAGACACAGAGAAGCGAGGTATACAGCATAAAGTGGATCAGAAGGGATAACAATGGCGGCACCAGAACCAATATTAACAATCACACCTCTCTTTCTCTTAATCATCCCAGGCAAAACCGCTTGTGTAACTTTGGTAGTCCCTTCAACATTGATTTTAATCAAATCAGCCAACAATTGCTCGTCCACCTCATGGAAAAACCTCACATAAGGATGCGAAACTCCAACATTATTGATCAGAACTCCAACATCCAGACCTTCAATGGTTTCACGAATCCGATTAACCCCTTCGTTCAAATCTCTAGAGAAATCAACAACCACAGTCTTGATCTGGGTTTTCCTGAATTTGGCTCCGATCGACTCCGAAACCTCCTTGAGTTTCTCGGGGTTTTGACCAACGAGAATCAAATTCAGACCTTTATGTTCTTGACTTGGATATCCTCTCTGGCTATGAGAGTGCAGGTGTAATATAAAGGCACGGGGGGTGAGGGACCTTAGACTACAAAAGAACATATTGTGGATCTAATCCATTACTAAAAGTTGGATAGGGACCTTAGACCGATTTTTCCTAAAAAAAGCTTACCAAAAAAGTAAGAGCTTGATTATAATTTTTATAAAAATAAAAAATAGTTTCCCACGAGAAGTTTATGCTTATGTTTATGATTTAGAGGAAAATAATTTTAAATTAAACAATAAATAAATAAGAAAAAGCATTCAAATAATTGTAGTGGATATATATATATATATATATCAAATTTAAATAATAGAGAAATTTAAAAAGATTAAAAAAAAGAAAAATGCTTTGAAACTCTAATTCTTAAGCTCTAAAGCAAGCTTTAATAAGCTAACAGTAGGTCCCACCTACTGTGATGTAATGTTTTGGTATTGTTTTTTTTTCTTTTTTTCTTTTTTTCTTTTTTTCTCCTTGCCATGTAATTAGTGCTCCATTAGAACACTAAAATTAGTGCTATGAATCATTACTATTTAAAAAAATAGTTGGTTTTGTTCCTAGAATAATTTATGTTCGAATGGAAAAAATTGCACCCCCACACTTAAATAATAAAGAGATTTCAAAAGATTAGAAACAATATAAAAAATTAATAATATATAGGGGTCATTTGGAAACATCATAAAAAGTCAAAAGTCATATTTTAACCCATTTTGGATTACATCACCCCTCACATAAAAAAGTCAAAAAATTAATTTTTAACCATCTTCTCAAAACATCCCAAAATGTAAGTAATTAATTAAGGTTGGGATTAAGGTGTGCATGATGCGGTCGGTTTGGGTGGTTTCAATTTGTTGTTGATTGAATAATAATCCTAGGGGTTATTTACACCAAAGCTCCGTTTAGGATGTCGATTTGGACTAAAATAGTCATATAAGACAAAATAGGTTATTTTAACCACACAGGACAAAATGTCACATCTAACTCATAATCATTTTATTTTTTCTCTCACAAAAGTCAAAAAAGACAAAAAAACTTATCCCAAACAAGACCTTTTAGCCCTAAGCTAAAATCGTCAAAAAGTCAACCCACATCCTAAACGAACCCTAAGACTTTTTAAGCTATTGAGAAGTATCACTTTGATCTCTTAAACTAGAAAAACATATAAATAGACCCCTTATAATATTGAAAAGTACCACTTTATCCTTTAAACTATAAAAATATGTAAATGTCCTTAAATTATAAAAAGGGTAAATTACACTTTGCACCTTTACACTTTATATCAACTCCCACTTTGACCCCTACACATCAAATTGTGATACTTAACTCCGTTAACTTTTGGTAAGGTGTCACTTTGGCCTTTCTGTTAGCCTCGTTGTTAACAAAGGTTAGTCACATGAAAAACATGTGAAGATAAATTATACTTTGCACTCCTATGCTGTACACAAAATCTCACTTTAGTCCCTACATATTAAAATTGTGATACTTAACTCCTTAAAGGATAACTTCTGTTAGCCTTGCTATTAACAGAAGGGCCAATGTGACACTTGACTAAAAGTGCAGAGGGTTAAGTGTCACAATTTGATGTGTAGGAACTAAAGTGAGATTTTATGTAAAGTGTAGGGGTGCAAAGTGTAATTTACCCTTATAAAAATGTACAAATTAAACCATTAATAGAAAGAGTCAAAGCAAAATATGCCAATAGTTTAATGGGCCTATTTGTATATTTTTATAGTTTAGAGGAGTATAGTGATATTTTTCAATAGTATAAGAGTCAATTTGTATGCTTTTAAATTTAGGGGGTCAAAATGATACTTCTTAATAATTTAGGAGTCTCTATATAAATAACCCTAATCTTAAACAATTGTCAAGCACTTTCATAGGAGCGTTTTGGGAAGTTGGTAAAAAGCTAGCTTTTGGCTTTTTACCAAGTTTTTTGACTTTTTTGGAGGTGATTTGAGAAGTTGGTAAAAAGCTGACTTTTTTGATTTTTTGGTTAATATTTTTTAAATGTGTCACATCACTGTAAAATGACGAAGATACCCTTACCTTTTAATGAAAATTACGATTCTGTCCTTTAGTACGTTAACACTATATTGTTGTAACATTTACAATGATGTTCCAACAAATTTTTATTTTTTTTTATTAGTACAATAATTTCCAAATTTTACCAAATACTTTTTATTATTACAAATTTATTATTCTCTTTTTTACGAATTTATTTATTTTATTATTACAAGTTTATTAGTAAATGTGTTATTTTTTTTATACAAACAATTACCAAATTATCCAAACAATTATTGCAAATGACCAAAATACCCATAGCAAATTTTTTCAAAATTATTATGACAGTTTTGTTAATTATTTTTATTATTATAATTGAATGGCATATTTATTTTCTTAATTTTTCCCAACAAATTGCGCTCTTACATTAATTAATTTCCATATTACAATATGGTAAACGCCCTTCAGAACCTACAACTTACCAACAGAACCGTACATTTTTTTTGACACTTTCAACAGTTTCACACGTTCATTGAATTTGCCATCACCTCGTACAGACCGAACAGGATTTACAACCCAAGTTGACGCCGATGTCGCACTAATTCATTCCGTATTGATTTCCTCATTTCGTTCATATGTATGTCATCGTCGCCCTCTGGTTCACCATCATCATCATCACAAAGACCGTCAACATTTGGCATGTCGTTGAATATAAAATTCTCTGCATTCATAATCTTGTTGAATGCTTCATCGTCGCTCGAGTTGCGGCGTATAAAATTATGTATTGCCATTGAAGCCCCAACCAATGGCACCTGCACTTTCCCGAAATCATATCGTGACATGTTATGTAGGAATCCCCATCGCGCTTTCCATACGCCGAACGTATGTTCAATTGCACTACGTAAGGAGGAGTGCACCGTGTTAAAAATTTTGTTTGCATTAATTGGCCGTCCTGTTGCGCGAAACTGTTCCTGGTGGTAGCGACATCCCTTAAACGGCGCCAAAAACCCTTTTTGGTTCTTGTACCCCACATCAACAAAGTAATATTTTCCTGGTTGTATGTCGATGATTTTGCATTAGTACGGTGGTCGATTACAAATATGAAATGCACACAACTAAAACGAACAAAAAATGATATGTCCTTCATCTTACCTTCCTTTGGCATGGGGAATTGTTTGGTTGGGTCCTGTGTTACTTCGTTAAAAACTCTGCTATCATGCATACTACCCTCCCATCCGCAAGATATAACAGTAAAACACAAATCGAAATCACACGCTGCAAGTATGTTTTGCGTGTGTCGTCCTTTACGACCAAAATATGGTGGTGCCTCCTGAGGCGGGAGATGTGCCTTCACATGTGTGCCGTCAAGCACGCCAATACAGTCCTGCAGAATCACATAGCATCATGTGAATGAGAAATGCTACTACCCAAAAAACATTTTCCCTATTTTCCGAAAGTGGCTACTATTCATAATTAAATGTGCAAAAAATAAATACCCTCACTTTGGATGAGAAATATTTATGTCGGGACTCAAAGTACGGATGTCTACTGTGTTGTGACCTTGTCGGTCGGCATTGTGCTCTCGTGAACAACTTCGTCGCAACTCGCATTACATGACGCCAGACTGTTTCCCCCGAGTGTTGAAAACAGTCTTCTATGTCCCAACTCGTGAAGCCCCGTAACACGAATATGAACATGCCGACACTCTCAACTACGTTTACACCATGGGGACGCTGTGGTACTGGGAGGCCGCAATCCTCAACTAATGTCTTGCACAACATCAAGAACACATCCTGTGACATCCGAAAATTTCACTGAAATGCTTCATTCCTTCCTCGAAGCATCTCCTGCATCCACATGCTACTGGTCAATGGAGATGTGTGAAATGGAGTCCTGTCAACATACGCGTACTCGTTGGCAACGTGAGCAATTTCCACCCAAATCATTGATGTCATCAACTCCATTTCTCCGATCGTCTCTCGTATCCAAGCATTTATTTGGCCATTGCGTACGACTCCCAAGCTAGTACCCTCTTGTGCATCCATAGACGTTGCAAATTATATGAAATAAGAACTACCAGCTGTAGTGCTTAATTGCCGAAATGAGTTGCACAACTCCATGATATATAACACTCCTGCAGAAGCATATTCAACTACTATCTACTTTTTATTACTGTGGGCATGTGATTGTCCAAAGCCTAGTACACCATCACACTGCCATTTGAATGCTACTACATTTCCAGGTTTATACGATTTGTAGTTTGCATGCTTGCATATAAGCATCTAACTTTCATTCTGATTGACGTATGCCACATCAACTTTTTCAATATTTGATGTGAATTGTTTTGGAATAAAATAATGTACATAAAGAAATGTAAATAAATAAGATAATGAAACACATAAATGTTTTTGCATTAACTAAATTCCAAAAATAACCCAAAATAAATAAATAATTTTTTTATTTATTGAAATGTAAGTACTTTGCTGCCTATATTAAATAATTTGAATAAATAAGTGTACACAATAAATAAAATAAATAAAGAATAAATAAGTCAATTAAAGAAATGTAACTACTTTGCATCCTTCTTTTTTTTTTTCCGTCACAAAAATTAATTTCAACATAGTTCAAAAAACCCATCATTTTCAATGTTTTTTTAACCTTCACGAGGACTACATTATCTACTTTTTAATTTTGTACAAAATTAGTGTTTGCTTTTGTAAGACCAATTTTCGTTTTGTCAATTATAAAATAGATTTAACAAATTGCGTAATTCCAAATACACTATACGGATGTTGCCCTATTGTTTTTCCTAGCAAACTAATGTCTGCCACACAACTCGCCATCTGCATGTGACAAGGAGCAAATAAAGTAAATAATAACACAACAAACCAAAAAGAGCCTGCAAAGAGTTGCATGTACATTTCTTGGCCAAAAGTTGTGCATAACATAACAAGCATGTGACACAATAGTGCCACCTTACGGCGTGTATACTCGCATATCGGTTGCAAAATCCTGCAGAATCATACATACACGTCCACACCAAAATAAAAGAAATGCGAACTGTCTCGAGACTTCACCATCCAAAAAAAAAACAAATAAAAAAAATACAAACACACATAATATACTACAATCTCATGATAACCAAATAGTAAAATGACAATCCAACCACAAAGGCCTAGTCCAAGTCAACAGCACCACCATTCCCGAACAGCCGTGTCCCCCCTCCTTCACGATCCCTGCCAACATTGACCAATGTGCAGGCACGCTTCTCTGTCAACCAGTTGACAATGTAATTCTAGGGGAGGGCTATGATGATGTCCCGATTATCGGGTGAATCCATTATGCCGCACGCGAATGAGAGCAACTTATCGCCGGGCTCTAATCCAGGCGTGCTCATAAGCCGTGTAAGACAGTCCCTCACTGTGTTGTCACCTTTACCCGTGACAACGTACTGCGTGATTTTCAGCTCCCTTCTTTGTTTGCTCACTACTTCCACGAGATTGTCCATGCTACTAGCAATAATACCAGGCGCTGCCCGCTTGCACCATTTTGGATTGGCTGATCCATCCACGGTTGACTAGGGGGGAGCATCCTTAAAGAGGTTACTATCAACCACGTTCTCCCCGACAGTGTCATGGCACGACTGTGGTGGTGTGCCTGCACTGAGAGGTCCCATCCCGCTATCCACGTCCATGGCATTGGTCGCAGCAGCAGCATCATCGCGCATTTCTGTTAGAGTCCATGCATGTTACCCAGTCGCTGCTGTGCCAGAGTACACCTGCTCCATGAGATCCACGTGCTCTAGAGGCTTACTTTTGAATTTAGCACATCGGTTGTTCATCTGTGAGGAAGAAAACACATATGTCAGTACAGTTTGAAATGTAATTACAAAACAATAAATGTAACTCTTAAATTAAGTGTACACATCGCACGTTGTGGGTTGCCCAACATATCTTAAAGTAGTATGTTCAACGAGTGCTTTAATTTGTTGAAAATAGTTATGTGAACAAAATATGGCAACTAAAATGAGCGATACTAGTACAACAGTACTGGGGAACATAAAAGTTTTGTGAAAACATACCATTTGCATTTTGGCCCATCAACGGTCAGATGCAGTGAACAAGCCTGTCTCATGGTCATACCCAAGCCCTGTCAAGTCGTAGTTGGCATTCTCTAACTTCTTCCAGGCGACCCAATCTTTCTTCAAGTTGTCAAACTTGTTTTTCAGTTGCTTGGCTGAATGTAGTAGGCTGGTTTTCTGTAGAAATTTGTTTGCTACGTTCTTATACCCTACCATGGACAATCCGCATGGTTGTCGATTATCACCTTCCATTTCAGCAATGATGAGTTGAAGAAATAGCTTTGTATTGTCGTTTTCGAATTGACATTTATGGATTGGCTGGGGTTGGGTTGTTGTGACTGCGTTGCCTCGAGACTTTGAAGGGGTACGGGGTGATGATCAGTTTGTTGCCATGACTAGTGCTGTCCTGCTTGTAACATTTACAATGCAATATCAGAAAGAAATAAAATACAGTACATATTGTTTGCATGGCCAAAAGTGAAATAAAAGTGTAAACACAATTGCTGCAGTAATAATAACAAACAGTACAACACTTTCCGAAAGACAAAGTCCGTTTGTACTACACGTTGGGGAAATCTTATGTAACAGGACCAAAACATCAAACTGACAGCAAAGTACATATGTAATACAAAAAGTAACTACGTAGCAATATCCATGACAATACATCACATCCGAAACAACAACACCAAAAGAACGACGCACAAAAAATCGATGATGGTCCTAAGCATACGTAGGCTCTGATCTATGCGCGCAACGTCCGTTCGTATCCCCTGATCGACATCATTATGTGGCTGGTCAGTACGCAAACTGGTGCTGCGAAACTCGTCACACCAACCAACCCATGACGCACATTGCTGCTGGACAAAATTGCAGTAGATAGTTAGCATGCATGCTATACGACACAACCACAAATGAACGACGACATGACTAAGTGCATAAGAGAGTGACAACACAAACACACCTTAGTTCTAGGGCAAACGTAGAACGCACGACCAGGGTTTTTTGCGAATCTTGATATCTTTACAACGCAATGTCCAAACCCACAATCACACATCCTCGATGGCCATAATGAAGTGGCACTTGACGTGGAGGACGCCATCTGTATACTCCTTTGATTTTTTTGTTCATATTATAAATTGAACTAATATAATCTACTGTGCGGAATGAAAGACAGTAACTGAAACAAGTTCATTTTGAATTTAGGTTAATAGTTGAACATGCTAGTTTAGTGGTGTGTCGGGACTCTAGCCATTTTGTTGTCTACATTTGCACTCTATATTTTCACTCCCTTTGATTTGTTTTTACTGACAATGTGCTTGCATTATGCTTTAGGTGACTCATTTGCTATGGTTATGAATAGGGACGAAAAATGCTCCAAAAATCTACTTGCTCAACTGTTCCTGGTCAATGGTCCCTAAGTATATTGAGAGAATGTTACTGAAGTAATTAGCAGTTAGCAGTTAGCAGTTAATATAGCCAAGTATAAAATTCCAAAAATAACCCCTTACATTCAAGGCAACCAAACAAATACGTGCAAAAATGTAATGATTTTATGTAAAAGATATAGTAAGAAATGACTTACAAAATTCTTCTATATAGAAATTATTTATTGAACTACATGTCGAATTAACTGTAAATTCTAAGTGAGTGTTGTAAAAATTTCTGTGGCGAATCTCATGATGTTCAGCCAAATGCATGCAACAACTTGTATAGAATTATTAAAATCTTAAAAAATTTAAAATTTAAAACAAAATTTATAAT